GGTGGCATGCGAGCTGATTTTCAGTGGCACGCACACTGCCCACTGGGTCCTGGCCACTGGTCCGGGGGACTCTGGATTTTAATTTAATTTTAAATGAAGCTTCTTAAACATGTTAAAAACCTTATTTACTTTACATACAACAATAGTTTAGTTATATATTATAGACTTATAGAAAGAGACTTTCTAAAAACATTAAAATGTATTACTGGCACGCAAAACCTTAAATTAGAGTGAATAAATGGAGACTCCGCACACCACTTCTGAAAGGTTGCCGACCCCTGGTCTAGGTCCTCATATGTGGCAGCTGTACTGGTATGCTACTTTCAGCACAAATGCTATATGGCTTCTGTGTTGTGTAGGCCATTCTGCAGCCTCCTCTGCCCAAAGATAATTTTACTGAGAATAAATTAATGTGACTACTGTTAAAAGAAAGGGCCAGATCCTTATGTGATGTAAATCAGTGTAGCAACAGTGACTTCAACAGAGCTGTGCATATTTTAATCACCTGAGCATCTAGCCCCAAATCTGTAAATCCACTACATCGTCCCTAGCTTTTACTGCTCAAAAATGAAAGGAAGCAGAGAAAAATCAAATTGTTTTACTTACCACTACTATAATTTCTTTTGTTCTGAAATCTTTCTGTTATGTGCAAATGTGTGCCATTTGAATAAATAGCAATAAAATAGAGCATGAAAAGAACCTTCCAGGAAAGCAATAGTTGTAATGTTTCCTTGCAAATTGTGTTTTAACTAATTTTAAAAGGGTATTAGTTTAGATTTTGTAACTTCTCATTGATATTATTTAGTATCACAATGTCACCCTGCAAGATAATAGGCCTAATTCTCCTCTTATTTCACCAAAGTTATTCTTGATGTAAAGGAGTATGAGAAGAAAATCATGTTTTTACAGTATAACGTAGAACCAGTGAGAGAACATAACTAGAATTCTAGGGCCTGGTCTACTCTAGGAGGGGGGATCGATCTAAGTTACGCATCTCCAGCTACGTGAATAATGTAGCTGAAGTTGATGTACTTAGACCTACTCACTGCGGTGTCTTCACTGCAGTGAGTCAACTGCTGCCGCTCCCGTCGACTGTGCCTGCGCCTTTTGCGGCGGTGGAGTACAGGAGTCAACGGGAGAGCGCTCGGGGGGTGTGTGTGTGTGTGTGTGTCAATTTATCACATCTAGACTAGATGCGATAAATCAACCCCCGCTGGATCGATCGCTGCCTGGCGATCCAGCGGATAGTATAGACATACCCTAGCTCCCTCTTTTGTGCTCTCCAACCAGGTGTAAATTAACATTGCCCATGCAGATTACATGTACTAAGAGTGTGGTTGATTCAAGCGTGGGAGTGTAAGTAGTGGCCACAGGAGCATCCATCACATCCAACCTCAATCATATGACTCACACTCCTTCTCCATAAGCCCTGACTTGGCATTCATCTACCAAGGCTCAGTATGTGGAAGAACGAAGCAGACCCTCTGAATAGTGAACAGTGCTGGTTTCTAGGGAGCCAGGATTGAGGCCTGATTTCTTGTGATTTATCGTTTCCTTTGTGTTCAAGGTTTTGGTCCAATGATGACTGCTCAGTTTAACAAGTACATACCCTAGCATACTGTTGAGAGCATTGGACAAATGGAAGTTCTAAAACAGATACCTTGGTCCATCTGAACTGGGCATAGAACAAGTCGAAGGAGGGATTGCAAAAAGTGGCTTAAACTTCCCCTTTGCATTTACCTGCTCCTGTGACTACTGAGTGCAAGGCTGGTCAAAGCAGCTACTGAAGGTTTCAAGAAGCTGCAACCACAGCAGGAGATTGAGCCGTGCAATAGCATCCTAGTCATGCCCCTCTCCTATAACCACACTTTCTTTAGAAGCTACGCTCCTATTGCACTAGCATGGCCCTTTGAGTCTGGTTATGGTTACTAGACAGCCAGACATGCTGGACATATGGCATAAAATGGTGGTTTGATTTTTTTTGTAAAAGCAGTGTTGTTAATTCCAACCTTCTAGCCTAGTTCCAATGTGGGAAACTAAAGAATAGATGCTGATGATCCTAACATCTTTTTCTATAAGTAGTCTCAATAGGGTTGCCAACTTTGTAATATTTAACAACCGGACACTCCAGCAGAGTGCTGGAAGCTCCCCTTCCCCCGAGGACCCGCCCCTGCCCTGCCCCTTACCCCAGGCCTCATCCCTGCCCCACCTCTTTCCCTGAGGCCCCGCTCCTGCCCTGCTGCTTCCCACCCTGAGGCTCCACCCCGTTTGCTCCTCTTTCCTCCCTCTCTCTGTCGCTCACTGCTTTTTCCCCCTCCCTGTGTGGGTTGGGAGGGATTTACCTGGAGAGCTGGGGCTGGGAGCTGCAGCTGCCCAATAGAAGTAGGAGGCAGCCCTGGATGTGTAGGGGCTGGCCCGGGTGATGACTCTGTGCCTCCCCCACCTGCAGTAACTGGGCGTCAGGTCAGTAGATCTGAGTGGACACCCTCAGGCCCCCTTTCAACCAGACTTTCCGGTAGAAAACCAGACATCTGGCTGCCCTAAGTCTCTCAATTATTTCAATGGGCCTGTTCATGGCATAAGGGTCTATTCAGGATGGGGAAGGGTTTCCAAATCTGGCGCACAGTTTACATACCATCTACCTAATATTTCCCTTGTAGTTGCACTTCCTATCCTGCACTCCTCTTGTGTAGTGTCTGACCCCAGATGAAACTACATTTCAGTGAGATGTGAAGTGATTCTTGGGTGTATCTGTAAGTCTGTAAATCACTTCAGAAAGCCAAGAGTCACTCTGGCTAAAATATGCTATAAATGCAAATCAATATTATCTTTCCAAGAAGTGTTTAGATAGGATATTGCTGTTCAGAGATCATGTGGTGTTCTTAGAAATAAATATTTATTACATTTTAAAATATTACATTTTCAAATTTATGAACAAATACTGTACATAATGAGAAAGCAAAGTTGGACCAAAGGATTGTGATTTGGGGTAGAACATTAGCTCTATACCCCACAACAGTACACATGGCAAAGAAGTCACAATAGGCTTCCTCTTATTAATGGAACAGCCACTGAAAGGGTAAAATATTCCATCCTAAAATCTGTCATTGACATTTCAGGAAAAAGAGGAGGATGGGGTGTAGTTTAGTTGAAGTACAGCAACTAACCTCTGCCTATAAAAGGCATCTGCCTCGATTTAGATCTGACTTTCTGTTTTAGAATAAACTGGGGCTTCATAAACTAAATAGGTTGCGGTGAGGTGGGGGGAAGAAATCAAGCTTACCAAGAACTGCTTGTCATACCCTGTAAGCTCTTTTTCTGGTTAACTGAGAGATCTGGATGGGCTTAAATGGATTACTGGTTAACCTAGAAATCTCTGATTTGAATCTAAATACAGATTCTTTAAAATGAAGAATTAGAGTGGTATTGCATCAAAAGCGAAGTTAGCATTTTTTTTTTTTTACTTGAAGCAGATGTGGACTCTGCTCTTTTCTGGAAAATTCACTTTCAGGTCTCTAACACAAATAATAAAGTTTTGCTGTTGCATTAAGAAAGAGGTGGATGACTATCATGACAAAGCAGACCTAGATTCAGGGCTTCCTAATCCTATAGATTTTAAGAGCAGGAAGATAGTTTGTCTAGAGACTTAAAACTTTTGACAAGTTAATAAGGATTCGTTAACCTTAGACAACAATATTACTTAATATGAACAAACTAAGCTCAACAATATGGTATACAGTATTACTTGTCTTGAAATGCCATTAAAGTACTTGATCCATATATAGAACTGTTTTCATAAACCGTTTCTAGTTGTGCTTTGCTTAAATCCCAGTATTTTTCTAGTTTATATTCCAAGTTCAGAAAAGATCCCCCTTTGATGTTGTAGGTGTTTCGAGGTCTAAGTTTTTCAAACTAATTTTAAAATGTAAAATTTGTGAATTGGATGTAAATAGGTGGAAAATCCAATAAAGGAATCAAAAGTTTAAAAGAAATATGGAAGTGCGAATAATTTCATTTGTATTTAGTGTAAATATGTCTCCCCTGCATATCGTTATATTTTGTGCAGCTTCCACAGAAAGGGTGTAACACATATACATGCTTTCCAATAGGACTGCTAAAAGATCCATTCACCTTCACGTTATTCCAGTTTAATGCAAGTGTAACTCCATTGAAATCACTGGTGCACAATTGGAGTAATGCAATGGTGAACCAGACCTTAACTTTTATTTTTGGGTACTTTCTAGTAGGCTATTTTAATCCATTGAAGTGAGAGAGAGTAGTTGACACAGTAAAGAAAAAGGTGTTAAGAGAATCTCTTCACAAAATTATAAATAATGTGATCCAATATATATACATAAGCCGCCTTATTGATATAAGTAAAAACTCAGCTACCTGTTTCAGGATATATTTAAACACACATGGTACAGACTGTTCACATATTACTTAATGTGTAAGTTGCCCATAAAAGACTTTGGTGCTTGATCTGTCTATATTTTTCTCTATTGCACCCATAACTATGTTATCGAAGCACTGCTTAGAATATGATTTGCTCTGTTCTAGGCTAGTTGTTTCTTATATCTTAAGAAGTTTAAAAAAAATGTTTTTAGAAATAGATATATCAAACAAAGGACTCTTAAGCGGGAGACATTTCTAAAACAGCTTTGCTTTCCATACCCTTTTGTGTAATATGACACTTGAGGACTGCTTCTATTGTTTTGTAGTTTAAAGTGGGGAGAAGAAATTGTTTCCTTGGTTTTATTTCTGGAACCTGAGAGGAGCAGCAGCTATTGGGTGTAATAAATTCATGCAAATTAGCTTTCAGAATGCATGTGTAAGTGTAAAACTGCCATGTGTGCTCTGCTCTGTGCCTGTGACTTATCCTGCTGAGCTTGCTTCTGGTGCTGTCTCAGAGAAAGGAAGGTATGGGAAAGGGTTAACTTCTTACCACCAACCACTGAAAGGCACATTTGCAATTGCTCCCGGTCTTGTCTTCCTTTTTACACCTCATTCGCTCACTGCTGCTTTTCACTTCAAGGCACATCCTTTGACCTAAGCAGATTATTGTGGACGCATGAAGGACACAGCAAGATATCCGTGCTTTTCAAGGGGGAGATTTGGCTCCAAAATAGGACACTAAGCCTTTCGACTTATGCTTATTTACCTAGTCAGCTAGATGCAGTGTCTCTGGGTGCTTAGTGGACTCCTGTGGAATCAGCCAGGAAACAAAAGCAGAAGTGGCAGCCGCTGCAAATGTGGGAGTCTGTGGCATTAAAGGGAAGCAGTTGCTAATAAGGGCCTGTGAGACCTAGGTTTCCTTGGTTTCCATGACAGTTATTAGGTAGCATAGAAATTGAATTGTCTCCCACAATGCTCTGGGGGGAGAAAGGGGTGCTCCAGTGACAAGGCAGAGTAGTTATTACTTGCAGTAACTCGTCTGTCTGAGAATGCAAAACTCTCTGGATCATTACGTTGTGCAGATTTTTTTTCTTTCCCAAATGTGGTTCGCTTTACTTTTTTGATGGAAGACTCTGGCTTGTGCTACAGTGTCTCAAATAATATTTTCCCCTTTTTATTTAGAAACTGAGCTTGGCAAAGCCAGGATATGAACAATTATACAGGTGGGCTACTCTGGGGGAGTGAAGATATAAGGCATCCAATCAGGTATTGGCAACCTGCAGCACTGTCAAAATGCCCCTCCAACAGATTTCTGTAGTCCCAGCGCGGGAGACGGCCAGCAATGGGAGAAGTTCAATGGGCAGAAACAAAGAGAAGAGCAAGGAAGTCGAGGTAAGAGGAAGGTTTTGATTTGATACAATAGGAAAAGCCAATCCACAGTAGCTAGCATTTCTGTCTGCTCAACAGGATGTACTGTGCTGTAGCTCTGGACCAGCGCTGACAGGATCACAGCATGCTTTAGCAGACTGGAACTGAATTCCCATAAAACTAATAATAATATACTAAAATGCATCTCTGAATTATGGGGGGGATTATAAATATTTAGGGTTATTGCTGAAAGAGGAGGTTGCAAATTGCAGTGTCAGTGGCATGCTTTTTGTTACGTTTCATTTAAATATTTCAATGTTTAATTCTTTTATGAGCTTTATAGCCCACTAGCATTGAAAGACAATGGATATGATTCCGTATACTTGCAGATTTTCAGATGTCAAAGCAGTTTGAACATTATAGTTTTTTGTTCCTAGTTTTTTGGGGGGAAAAGAATAGCTTAGAAAGATTCCTCTTTAAGGGAAAACATATTCATTGTGCTAATGCTAAAGTCTGTTTCACTAATATGCATGTACTCCTTGTATTAAATATAGGCACAAGTTCTATAGCCTACAAATTAGTCTACATTTTCATTTAAAATGCATCAGTTTGTTTTGTTTTTCATCCATTGTCCCCTGCCTTTCATGAAAAAGATTATTAAAAAGCAACAAATATTATTCCACCAGTATTAATAACCAGGTTTCGCCTATTTAAGAGAACGTCTTGGATCAAAATATAATGAAAAAGATGCACATAAAATGTAAAAATCTACACAATTGTTTCTAAGTTTTGAAAAGTGTTTTGTGGGTAGGCAGCAGAGATTCTAGTTTAAAATACCTATCAGTAGTAGGTGACACCATACAAAACAAAGAAAGGCTGAGATGATATCAGAAATAAATACTGTAGCAGCTAAAGCTGCCCCGCCCCTTTAAACTATTTTTGCTTGGTATATATTCCCAATTAATCATTAACAAACATTTTTTTTCTGTTCTGGATGTTAATCTTTCTATCTGGAAAACAAGTGTGGCTGTGGAGAAAACACATGAGAATATTTTAATGATGAACTGGGAGAAAAGTAATAAAGTTCACTGAATTTCCAAAGGGAAGTGGTGTTTACAACCCCCCTTTTTAATCATTTGTATGACTTGTTTTCAAGAAATAATTTTAGAGACTAACAGATGCTGATGTTTCTAGGATTGTTGTGTGATGGTGGAAAATACTGGTTGATTTGTTGACTGATTTTAGACTGAGAAACTTTTGGTCCGGTAATTGGCTTAAGACAAATGTAGCAGTCATTGTTTTCTGATTTTTAAATTTCAGCGAAGAATATCATTGACAATGTCCTTTCCTAGAAGTGAAAAAAAGTATCTTTTTCCAAATGCACTGTGCTAATCAGTGTTTATCAAACTTGATAATGCCTAGAGTTTTGTGCACTTGGAACAAACTTTATTTTTTTTCCAGAATAGTGATAAAGAGTGAAGTGGAAAGTGTTCAAATTAAGATTGCAAATATGGAAATCTAAAATGTAAAATGATACCTAGAATAAAATGGCTTTCTCTAATTTTTGATTTAAATTATTTTTGACAGAGTAACACATTTGTTTAACATCCACACAGAGTTCATTAGAATCAGTAGAATTGTCTTGTGCTCCACTGTGGGTGATTTTTGTCCTGTGAAGGGCTGAATCAAATCATTTTGGAAAGAATCAGATACCTCTGAGTACAAACGTTTGCAGGTTTTTCATACAGATGTGTAGCTGGGAAGAGCAAACTAGTTTGCAGAATTTCTTAGGTTCATGAAAGTTTAATTAGTTTTTACTTTAAAAAAAAATTGTCTCTGTTGCAGAGAATTGGTTAAAATGCATATTCAGAACTGCCCTCTGCTGGACAGCATGTCTGATCTGCTCAACTATATGGTCCTCCCTCTGTCCGTAGCTGCAATTTACGCAGGATAAAAGGCCTAATACTACTAACAACTAATGGAGATTCTCCTGTAGATCAAGTGGTAGGGATGTTTTTCCAGAGCTGAAGGCCCTTGAACAGGGCAATTGAAACTGTTCAGCTAAAACCCTAAGCATATCTTAAATGTATGCTTGGTTTGGATTCTTCTGTGTTTGTGGGTACCTGAGGTTCACCAGCATTGTGCCGAAGTGGGCTAATGTTTGGGTTCACAGAAACAGTCCTTTGTCCTCCTAGCTGTTCTCTCTCTCTATCCTCTGTTCTCTCCCACTCTCACCTAGAAATCTTCCTCCATCCCATCCCATTCCACATCTTATTTTTGTCTCCAGCAGCAGCCTTCCCCTTCTGCTAGGCTCATGAGGTATATTAATACCCTCTATCCTTCCCCTGGGTCTTTAGGGGCCTCTGAGTAGCTGCTTCCCCTCCTTTTCCACCAGCAGGTTGTGTTTTTTATTTGAAGGGAAAGTGTCTTTGAAAGCCACTGTCCTCTAGCCATTAGAAAGATCTTCTTGGGTAGTAGAACCCGAAAGCTAGTTTAGTAGAACAGGGAAATGTGCCTTCTTATTCCCTGAGTAGGGTCCGAAAGATGCTCCATAATCCCTGGCTACTATGTGGGCATAAAAGGTGTGTGTCCTCTAACAAGTGGTTGGTAGGGAACTCCCTTGGGTTCCCCAATTGCTGATTAGAGATTATGGAGTAACCTTTCCGTTCCTGTCTATTCACGTGGCTGGCTGCAGTGAGAGAACAAGTGTTACTAACCTCACAGTGTGTAGTAGTGTGAAGGCAGGTGTATACTGGTTGAGCCAAAAGAAGGACCTCAGAACTATGCAAAGTTCCAAGACCCACCACTGCTGGCACTGCTGCATGTTTCTAATCTCTCCTGGGAGCACTTCCCCCAAATGTTTTATTTCAGTAAAGGATTTTTCACTTTTAAGACAGGTGGTTGGCTGATACTGAGACATTATCAATAATATCAGTAAGTGCAGGGTTACTTAGAGCCCTCAACCACATGAATATTCTAGCAGTATTGGGAGCACCAACACAGTATACACATATGAGGATATGTTTACAAAGTGGCCTGCCTCTTGAGAGCGTGATGTGTAATTTCTTTGTGGGAGTAAAAGTGTGGGTGCTATTCAAAGATGCTCAACTTTTTTTTAGCCACATAACACATTTTCTGGTCAGCTTGTCTCACTGTGTTTTGTTGAAGTCATGGTTAACAGTAGGGTTCTACATAAAATGTAATAATAAAGAGCCAGGTCCGTTCTTTGTGCACACTGCGCAGTTCAGGGGAAAAGTGGAGGACAAAAGTGGTTTGAGGCCACGGGGCACTGGTATTGTTCCAAGAAGCAATTTATAGTAGCCTGAAGGCTCCCCAAGGGACTATTCTGACAGCCAGGGATTTTCAGGGAATGGGGGTGCCAAAGTCACACCGTCTTTTCCATGGCCAATTCCATGCGCTTGTGGCATGGAGAGGTGGGTGTTACCGGAGCTACTACAATAGCTGTCCACTACATTTCCTCAAGGCAAGGAGAATCTTCCACTAGCTTTAGGGCAGTTTTGCATTCAGAAATGCAGGACAGGCTCTGGCCCAAAAAGTTTAGTTGAGCGAGTTTTACATGTCCTTCTTCTCAATCTATTCCTCCACCAATGCTGTCTAAAAAAGGGTACTTGCAAATAATGAGGAATGAATTGGTGGTTGTAGGCAGCCATTCTAAAACTTGTGACTGGATTTTTGGTTATTTTTTAATATTCCTGTTACATTGATTTTTCTCAATGTACATTTTTCTGAAAAGCTACAGTGCAAATAAATATTTTGCCTTATGCCTGTGTGTGAGAATAAGCCAAATTCTTTCTGGATGTAATTCCATTGACTTCAGGGAAATTGCAAGACATGAATTTGCTACTACATATTTTAGGCTCTGAGAGACCTATAATTATATTAGAATTCTGGTTTATATACATAATGTGAAATTTCTGTGCACTTATTTACTAAAAAAAAAAAAACCAAACTCCAAGTAAACAAAAACTCCTAGGTATGCCTAACTTGTATGTGCAGCATCCCACATGCGAATGGGAAAACACGAAAGCCTACATTTTCAAAGGAGTTCACTTATGTTTTAGCCACAGTGTGTGTTTGTCCAAACTGAATTGTTCAAATCAATTGAAGCTGTGACTCAACAGTCCTAAAAATCAGGGCCCCACTGTCTGAAGTTGAGCACCATAAACTTGTCAAAACTTTTGAAAATCTAGGCATCAATGAGTTGAGATTGGCAGAATAGACCTCATAATGACAGTATTTTGTGCAGCTGTGCCTGAGAGCTGTTGGATTTCCTTTCCTGTGATGACAGGCTAAAGAAGTGCTATGGATGGGTCTCCAAAAATCCAGAGTAGATGAGCAAGAGATGCTTACATTCCCTTATGATAAATTCTTTTGAATAACCAAGGGCCTATGCTTATGGGTACCTAAAGGAGTCTCCATCTATGCCTGACTTTGTATAGGCATGGTTTGCCCCCAGGCAGGAAAAATTAGCTTGAAAATGTAATTTGTATGTGTTAGAGTAATTTAGCCAAAGCAACTAAATGAAGCTTATCTGACACAATATATAACACCAATCTAGAGTTTACGGAGAAGAATAAGCTACTGCTGCCACTGTGGGAAACAAACTCTCGCCCTTTTTGTTTATTGGGTGAATGTATGAATTGTGATTATAGAGGATAATGATAAGTAGCATGATGTAACTAGAGAAAATGGTAACCACAACCAAACTAAATTCTTTCCCTGGCATGGGATACTTACAACTGCGTTAGCAACATACAAAACTGTCAAGTATCAGAAGGGTAGCCGTGATAGTCTGGATCTGTAAAAAGCAACAGAGAGTCCTGGGGCACCTTTAAGACTAACAGATGTATTGGAGCATAAGCTTTCGTGGGTCAATGCCCACTTCGTCGCATGCATCTGACGAAGTGGGCATTCACCCACGAAAGCTCATGCTCCAATACATCTGTTAGTCTTAAAGGTGCCACAAGACTCTCTGATACAATGCTGATTTGCCTTCCCTTGGGACCTCCTGAGGAAAGGAGTTCTTGGGCCTGTGACAATACCACATCATTAGAGTTTCCATGGTTATTTTCCTTTCTTTGCAAAGGAGAAATACCATTGGTAGCTTACTGGTAAATGTTAACTTTATACTTAAGACTACTACAAATTAATATTCCTGTCGACTATGCTACCCAGGCAGAGCTACAGGACAAAAACTAGTCCCCTGGACAAAGCTTTGCACAGAATTCCTGTACAGAGGTTGGTGGTGGGGGAAGAAGAAACTTCCCTTCCTCCCCACCAATTTGACAACAGGGTATGGAACACCAGTATAGCTGCTTTGCATGTGTGATTACAACCCATGGACTGTAGGAACATGTGCATCAATCTGTATAAGTGCCATCTCTCTTCCATGGTTTATCATGGAATATACCAGCACATTATTCTGTGGTGCAGAAAGGATGCTGAATCTCTATTTGTGTCCCATCAATGTATCTCTCCCCTCTCCCATACCATATAATCTCATATACATAAGAATGGTGACAGAACTGCAGCTTTTTAGCCTTGGCACATTATCAGAGGCAGAATTTGGCCAACAGGGAGCCTGAGACAGTATGATATTTGAATTTGAACATGTTATGTTTTTAATTAAGTCTATATCTGATGAGTTTCAACAAGGACAAGTGCAGAGTTCTGCACTTAGGATGGAAGAATCCCATGCACTGCTACAGACTAGGGACTGAGTGGGTAGGCAGAAGTTCTGCAGAAAAGGATCTACGGTTATAGTGGATGAGAAGCTGGATATTAGTCAACAGTGTGCCCTTGTTGCCAAGAAGACTAACGGTATTTTGGGCTGTACAAGTAGGGGCATTGCCAGTAGATCGAGGGACATGATCATTCCCCTCTATTAGGCATTGGTGAGGCCTCATCTGGAATACTGTGCCCAGTTTTGGGCCCCACACTATAAGAAGGATGTGGAAAAATTGGAAAGAGTCCAGCGGAGGGCAACAAAAATGATTAGGGGCTGGAGCACATGACTTATGAGGAGAGGCTGAGGGAACTGGGATTATTTAGTCTTCAGAAGAGAAGAATGAGGGGGGATTTGATAGCTGCTTTCAACTACCTGAAAGGGGATTCCAAAAAGGATGGATCTAAACTGTTCTCAGTGGTACCAGGTGACAGAACAAGGAGTAATGGTCTCAAGTTGCAGTGGGGGAGGTTTAGGTGGATATTAGGAAAAACTTTTTCACTGGGAGGGTGGTGAAACACTGGAATGGGTTACCTAGGGAGGTGGTGGAATCTCCTTCCTTAGAGGTTTTTAAGGTCAGGCTTGACAAAGCCCTGGCTGGGATGATTTAGTTGGGGATTGGTCCTGCTTTGAGCAGGGGGTGGGACTAGATGACCTCCTGAGGTCCCTTCCAACCCTGATATTCTATGATCTGTATTTTAAAAGAAAATTGCATTCTAATTGCATCAGTTTAGTGTAAAGAGCATATACTATTTTTCTAAACAGATCTCTTCTGTTCAAGTGAGAAATCAAGCTGACATCTAATGGTGATTGCAAATGCCAACCTGGAGTAACTGCTAACATTTACCTTAAAGCACACAAATAGCTTAGAAGTTATTGACATGCTTTGTGAAGAGGATGCTAGTAGCTGAATGTTCTTGCTGGACATCAATTGGATTCCGTTTACATAAACTACAATTACTCAAATAAAAGTGAAGATTCCTTTTAAAAAATACAATGATAATATTTGGTAAGTAGCATATATGCAGCTGCATACTAAAGAAAATGATGTGGTCATGTGCATCTGTACAGTATTCTCACTGTTAATTGGGAACTACATACCAAACTATTTGGTACTTGGAACTAAAGGTAAAAATCACAAATATATATATATTGTCTCAGTTGCAAAATTAGAATAAATTATATGTACATGTAATTGTTAAGATGAAGAGGTACATGGTTTTACTTATGTAATTAAGTGTAACAGCTATTTAATGATTACTTAAGGGGAAAAATCGGAGCAGCTGCTGATATGCCTAAATTAGATTATTGAAAATTGTGGATGCAATTAATCGGGTACTAATAAAAATGAGGTAATAGAAGAGTCCAATGGTCCTCCTCTCTGCTGGATGGAATCAGGCCTGCTAAATTGTTGATGATTGTCACCTTCTAGCATGTGGGCAAGGATTCAAAAGCCCTAATACTACTGACAATTAATGAAATTATTCTTCAACTTAGATGGCAGATACTTGTTGTAGTTGAAGTTCTTAAATTCTCTTCCCAGTGTTGGCATCTGTGTAATGCTGGCAGCCTTGTTGCCTTCCTACATTTATTGCCTGCTAACTCATACAAATTAGTTACCAGAAGTATTGGGGGGTTTTATTATCTTTGTAGACCAGATCGTCGAGGGTTACAAAATCACACACACTCGAAGATAATTATTTTTATCTGACAGGATAGAGCAAAAGTACTCAAACATACTAACTAGGGTTGCAGAAAATGGCATTGGCAACTCTAGGCAACGTGATTTCTTTTTAGTCTGTGATGAGCAAATGCTCCAGGCTGGTATAGAGCATACTGTACTGCGGGAGGTGCCCTCTTTTGGGTAAGACATAAAACCAAATCTCTGACATCTATTGTTGTCCTATGGCACGTCTCACAAGAGTTCGGGAGTTAGCCCAATTTTCTTGGAAACGTTCCAATTTCAATAATTATATTGTTACATTGAATTCCATCTGTAACTGCAATTATAAGCTATTCTCCATTTCCTGACCAAATTTTTATGTAGCTAAGTTACAGTCACTTCTTGTAATTAAAGTAAGTATAGTGTGTAAATTAGTTTGTGAAGTACTTAGGATTCTTCTAGATTTAAGGTGCTCTGTAAAGGTAAATCCTTATTTAACCCTTCTGAGTCTTGTCCTGCAATCTTGGTATTAGTATTGTGTTGGTCAGTTATGGTGGGCCTGGATGTCAGCAAATTTCATGAAACTGAAAAAAGAAAACTTAGTTCTTCTGTTCTAACCATTTTTGACTCCTTGTTGATGCTTGATATTCCTTTGAATGGCAAACGGTTCTTCAGTTAGCAGGAAGGAAATAGGAGATTGCTTGCTGTGCTTTTATTAGCTTCCTGTAGATCTATAACAATTCCTCACTGGCTGCTTTGCCTGATAAGACTACATAAATGCCGGTGGCTACTGAGTATGACAGTCAGGCTCCTTATGAAAAGGAGGTGATAGCAGCACATTTCACCAATTTGAGTTACCATGCATTGGGGGTGTGCCAAACAAGAGAAAATTGCGTTTCTCGCTGATAAACAATTTGCAGCTTTAGATCCCATATCTCACTAGCCGCCTTCTTTCTCTACATTCATAATCCGTGCTTAAAATCTGATGAGGCATATTTCTTGCTACTTCTAAAGTTTGCCTGCAAGTCTTATGGAGAAAGTCTGTAGTTATAATTCCTGATAGCTCTGAAACTCCCAGTAGCATTCACTTGAAGTGGGTTTGTTCAGTCTAATTCTAAAAATGTATGAAGAACGCCTTACTTTGGATTTACTTTCATGTAGATTTCACTTTAACATTTGCCTGAGATTTTACATAGTTTTAAGAATAATTGGTATTTTCCTGCTTAGTTTAAGATTAGTTTTGGTGCTTTGCTGGAATAACAGTATAAATTGGCCACTGGTAAGAAGAACAATAAAAGGAAAAGTTTGCTTGTCCAAATATGCACAACAAATATTTGCTTTGCTGATAAATGGTGGAAGCTTTTCCCTCTCATTAGCTAATAAATATGTGTTTGTTTATATTGGACCATGGTCTTTCATTAACTTGCATTTCAGAGAGGTGCCTGATTATGGCCTGAAAGTCTAGGCAAGGGTATAGTTGAGGTCTGCCCCAAACACTGTTCTACTGCATAAATCTGGCTCTTCTGTGGAGCTGTTTTGATTGGGTTCCATTCTGGAAATTGGAAGACTGGTGATGTACTCTCCAGGCTACCCACAATTCTTCCCCATTATAAACAGCTTTGTTATGGAAACAATAACTCCAGCTTTGGGAACAAACTGGGAGGTTTGTGCTTTGCACCTTTGCTACAGAAATGGTGAGGTGTTTTTCATGACTTCAGCGAGATTATTACTTTTAAGGCTTTTCTATTATTTAATTGCATACATTGAAACTTCCCCACTAGAAGTGGGAAATTATATATAGCAACTACGTATATGCTTTTTAAAATCTCTTCAGTGTTGAATGATGTACCAACTACAGTATATAGGGGATTCTTGAAGTGCAGTCTCAAATCTAGTACACCTCATATTTTGTGAGGGTGGAAAAGTGCAGCTAGAACACAAGAATATCCCAGAGAAAGCGGTTAAAGAGGTTTTTCAAATTAAGGACTAGACTGGCTTTAAGGGCTTCCAGGTAAGGTTATTTCTGGGGGCTTCTACTCTGGTCAATCCTTCCTCCCTTTTCCGCTATCCCCATTCCCTGTGCTTGTGTGTTGTTTTTTTTCTAGAACAAGCGAGGCACAGCCTTCTCTTTATTGTATTGACTACTCAGTACAGCATTTAGTCAGCATCCGACCCTACATTCGAAGATTCACTTTGAGATTCGTCTTCAATCTGGAGCTCTCGCCAAGAAGCAACTGTCTCCTTCGACTGCAAGTTTAGTAAGTCCAAAAATCCAGTTATGGTTAAAGGCAACAGTTTCAGCACTGACCAAGTGGCTAATTTCAACCATACAGTTAATTAAATATCCACTTCTGAGAGTCTCCAAAGGTGTACATTTATAAATATTTATTAAATGCCCACAACCCCATAAAACATGCTACATGATCCTCACTTCTGCATCTTCCAGAGTGTCCCTCCTTCTTCTTGTGTGTCTATCTCCTAGACAGTAATATATTTCAGGCAAGAGCTGACTTAATTTTGTGTACTATATAGCAATAAGCACACTGTCAGCACTAAAAACATTGATAATTATAATGTAATAAAAGAAGTAGGGCTGTCAAGTGCTTTAAAAAAATTTAATCGTGATTAATTGCACTGTTAATCAGAGAATACCATTTATTTAAATATTTTTGGGTGTTTTCTACATTTTTCAAATACATTTGTAAGTTTCACTTTCACGATAGAGATTGCACTACAGTACTTGCAAAGGTGAATTGAAAAAAACTATTTTTGTTTATCATTTTTATAGTGCAAATATTTGTAATCAAAAATAATAAATTGAGCACTGTACACTGTACATTGTATTCTGTGTTGTAATAGTAAAATGTAGAAAAACATCCAAAAATATTTAATAAATTTCAAATAGTATTCTACTGTTTAACAGTGTGATTAAAACTGTGATTAATTGCGAGGCATTTTTTTAATCACAATTAATTTTTTTGAGTGAATTGCGTGAGTTAACTGCGATTAATCAACAGTCCTAAAAAGAAACATTTTAAGAATTACAGAAAAATATATGTAACGAAAAAATTTGAAAGGTAAACTATTAATTGATTGTATTTTATTACTCACCTTACTGTATGTAAATGGAAAGAAAAGTCACACACTGGTTTTGTTGTCTTGGGTTTTACCCTCTCCACTGTAGAAATCAGGTCTGATTCTTTTCTGTCTTGCATCCTGTGTTGTCATTTACACCAATACAAGTGTGTGTAAAACTCATCATTTGATTTGATTGGATTTAACAGCACCTTGCCCAGATGTTGTTAATGACACAAGGTGCAAGGCAGTGTTGAATCAGGCTCTAAACCTTTTGCCTAAGGGAACAGACTCTTCCAGTTTAGTGTTTCTTACAATTAATTTACAATTCCTCCTTGAATGGACTTCATCTGGGATACTTCTTCTTAGAGCAGAAGAAATCTCTGGAGTAATCTTTCATTTTTGTAGACTGCATCTTACAACTGCAACATCTATTAGTAATAATGGGATGTGTGGGAATAATCCACTGAGCCTGGCACTGAAAAATTTGTCTCTATCTAATGCATTATCTTTTTCAGATGCAATGGTTTAAGCACAGAAGTGTGGTATATTCACCTTTTTCTCAGTGGAAGCAACCAATATGACATGCAGTTTCCTATCACTTTAGAGGTAGTTGTGGGTTTTTTCCTGCTCTTTTATGAGGCTCCATTTATTGTAAGCCTGCCAAATTCTACACACAAACATTTACTACTGTATGAATAATTTCAGCACGTTGGACAGCAATCAAGGTTTATCAGTCAGCCTCTGCTTCCCCTATCCCTAGTCTATTCCTATTTGTAAAATTTGAAAAATGGTATTTGAAAAATATCTGTTGGCACATTTCATACTTGCTATTTAACATTTCAAGTATTTTTGCAATTTTTATGAAAAGCTAAATATTTTGTGCTTTCATCTCAAATATATTATAGTTTCTTTGTTTCCCATGGAAGACAGTGTAAGGAGCTAGAGAGGCAGTGGGGGATGAGGTGGGGAGGAAAAGGAAAGAGCGCGAGAGAAAGAAACTGCCATTTTTCAGTGATCATAGTAATGTTTTGCCTGAGACTACTGCATGAAGACCTGACTTCATGCCAGAACAGAATTTTGTCCCTTTTGCTATGAATACAATGTGCTCTAGAGGAAATGGTGACATATCACCCTGGACCAAATTAGTGAATTCTCACAAACTGGCAGAAATTTTCATTTTTACATTAACAAAGTGGAAAATTGATAGTTTTTCACAGTATTCTCTGATATTTTTCCTTTTTAAAATAATCTCTTTTCCCACTGTAATAGTGGAAATGTTCTTTGAACTAATTGGGCCGTTTGTTCCGATGAGAGCGACAAATTTGTCCTAAATTTGTGTACATATTCATCTTGCACACAAACATGCTTGTGCTCACAATAATAAGCAGTTGTGGGCCTCAATTTCTATTTTCTTACAAAAAAGTACTATTTGTGTGTACAATACAGTGGTCACACTTAAAAAAATATTCTGTTTTGAAAGACAATACTGGTTCCAATATTACTTCTCACTTAAGGAATAGGGAATATCTCTTAAACTATTAGAAATTTTTAAAATGGAAGAAACGTTTGAGGGAGCTCACTGTACCTGGGCATTCAAAATCTGTTGTAACAGAGTACGTGCTCACATTTGAAAACATGGCCTAAAATGTTTAGACTTCAATATTTATTGTAGATGCTCATAGAACAGTAATGCAAACTGGTAGAGTCATTAGAATAGTAGCACGTAAATGCTTACTCCACTTATTAAGGTGGTGCTTTTGACCTGAGCTGGCAGGATAATGGACACCTCCTTGACGCTTTGAAGGGGCGAGGAGTCCTTCCTCCTCTTTTTGTGTGTGTGTGTGTGTGTGTGTGTGTGTGTGTGTGTGTGTGTGTGTGTGTGTGTGTT